ACTCAACACGCACGATCTCCGCAGAGGGTTGCGCACGCATGGGACAAATCGCACTCTCGCCTGCATTTCGCGCACTCGACACGCACGATCTCCGCAGAGGGTTGCGCGCGCGTGGGACAAATCGCACTCTCGCCTGCATTTCGCGCACTCGACACGCGCGATCTCCGCAGAGGGTTGCGCGCGCATGGGACAAATCGCACTCTCGCCTGCATTTGGTGCACTCGACACGCACGATCTCCGCAGAGGGTTGCGCGTCAAGTCTCCAAAACGAGCGTTTCGTACGAGACGTCCTCAAAAACTCACACGTCAAAGTCTGCAAAACGAGCGTTTCGTACGAGACTTCCTCCAAAAGTCAAGCAGAAACACCCTTCGGAGCACACACATCATGCAGCCCTGCCAAGCAGTTTCGCGATTCCAGCCCCTCCAAACAACATCCGCTCACACGCCAATCCCAATGGGACAGCGACATTCACCTCTACCACAACTCACAACCTCACGATTCCCTGCGCCTGCCACGAGAATTGCACTTCCGCGCTTCAAAGCCCGCACGAAGTCCTGCGCCTGCCACGAAAAGTGACAATATCATCGCATGTGAGCTTCAACAAAATTTGCACCACACCACACGTTTGGAATGATTTCGACCCGTTCAGAGCACACTCCCATCCATCAAAATCGCCATTTCAGCTGAGACTTGTCACGAAAACAGAGCTTTGATGCCACACCCTGAAACGCAAATCCCAATGGCACGGCCACATCCAACACCCCAAAAACACGACTCTCCAAGCGCTAATCCCAATGGAACTGCGCCGTAATCTGCGGATCTCACAAAACGCTGCGCCTGTGCAGCGAAGTGCATCACGTTTCTTGCGCGACATGTCCGTGTCACGCAAATCACAATGGAATAGCGGCGCAAACTGACACGTGACACGTCCATGCAAAGTCAAGCTTCCCCCAATGGCAGCAAATTTGAGACGCGACGACGACGAGAGACGACGAGAGACGACGACAGACGACGAGAGACGACGAGAGACGACGAGAGACGACGACAGACGACGACACGACGCAAGCCACGCGAGCACAGCTCCAACCCCCAGACCCCCCAACTATAAACGGGAACCCTTCGCTACGCATTCGGGAAAAAGGAAGCTCCCCCGCACTTGCACTATTCATGTGGTTCCTAGATGTTTTGTATTGGGGAAGCCGAATGATTTGAGGAGACCCTCGGCCTGACGTGATCTTGATCCCGCTGCGAACAAAACGCCGCATCAATAGGAGCCGTGGCCGGATGGTGATCTTAGATTGAGTAAGGAGACTTCAATGCTTGTAGAAACATGCCATGCAAAACTAGACGACTTGTAGGAATAGGTTAAGACATGTTGGAGCTGGGCAGGGGCGTCAGATTTCGTTTGCAGAAAATCTTAGTTATTCCTTTATTTCCTTGGTGTCATGTTTTGGGTTCTAAGCGTCCGCGTGCACTTTGTTAGAAATGACCGACGGGAAAGTTGGGCTCCCGCATCCAGTTTTGCACATGCAAGCAGGGTCCTGTCAAACAATCAAACGGTGTTGTTGCTTGTGGACTAATGCTATATTTACAACATGTCCAACATAATTGCACCGATGTGTTTGTGTTTTGGGGGTTTTGTCGATCTTATCTCCACTTTCATTGTCAAAACACCAGCTTTGTTCAGGTACATAGTTGGTTTTCTTTGTTTCTGTCTCGCGCACTTCGGTCATTCCAGGAGGCGGCAAAGGTCAGTAGAAATTCCACGGCTACCTGAGCTGAAGTGAGCATTCGCCACAAGAAAAAGTTGACATTTTCGGAGTAGGAATTTACACGCACATCATCAAGACTGCTCACGCAAAATCAATCGTCAGCAGATATTCAGATATTCATGCAGAGCACATGTCGTGTCAGGAGCAAGGGCCAGCAAGGGTGCTTGAAGGATTTGAAGAAGTTTTGCTACTAGGAGCAAGGACGCTACTAGTAGCTTCTGGGCATACTACTAGGAGCAATGTTTGCTATTAGGGGCTCCTGCCAAATGTTCATCCACCTGAAACCGTAAGGACACGAGGGTTCAATTCTTTTGTGTGCTGCGAGATGAGATGGGACTGGCAGCTGTTGTACACATGCACTGAGTCCAGACTGTGGTCATTCTGCATTAAGCTTGATGTATGTAGGGACGGATGTTTATATATTTGCTTGCAAGACTTTGTTGTAGAGAATTATTGTCCTGCAAAGATAGCCAAGATCTGTACTGCGATCTTATTGTGGGAGTTTTTGGCTTTCGCGTTCATAGTCTGCACAGCATTCACCCTACATGGCTGAATTGTGGATAAGCAGGGAGCAGCTCTTTTTTTGTGTCTCTGCCAAAGCTGCTTAGGCTCCAGTTTTGAATAGTTTGGAATTTGGACACAGACAGACTGCACAGTGTCTAGAAATGATTTGTTACAAACTGGGCTGCACCTGCACTTCTGTGTCACGTTTGGTCAGACCGACATGTTCACAGCTTAGCGGCCAAATACCAGTTTCAGCTCTTACACCATATTGTGCTATTAGGTTGGCGGCCATCGCTCTTAGGTTGGAGGCTATCATAACCACCTTCAATTCGTGACAAGTCTGAGCATTTTCTCTACAGCCCAGTCATGGCGGAGAATGGTCTCAGAAGCCAAGTATCGCGCCTTGGGCTGATGACATTTGATGACGGACAATCATATGGTTTCCCTGCGACATCTCAAGTTCTCTGACCTGTCATGAAAACGAGTCTCTGGTGGCCCTACATCTATCTATTCGTGGCCAGTTCTTGTAGAATCAACAGGGCCTCGCACTGCATTGCCTCACTTGACTTGACCTTTTCAGGCTTATCGTCAACAATTCATCACAACTCAACATGTTGTTAAGTTGACACATTGTCATGAAATCATGTTGAATCACCTTGCTTAAGAACACCCATCGCCTTCGTGGTGCACCGTGTTGGCTGCATTGCTTCGTCGATGCTTGCACCTTTCATCATGTTTCATCCAAATTGCTTTCCTGCTTTGTTCCAAGCACTGCTTGGTCAAGAACTTAGACTTAGTCTTCCTATTTTGGATTGCCCTGGAAGGACGAAGGACGGCACTCGTGGGCAACGCCAGGATAGAGAAAGGCCCAAGATGTAAAACCGTAGGCTCCTACACTTTTCACCACAAATCTTTGCTTTTGTGCCTGTTGCCAGACAGCTTTCAGGCAGAGACCGATATAGCCATAGGCCGTAGCGATGCTTCCAAGAAGTTGTGACAAAGTCAGTCCCGGTCCTCCTATGTTGTCCGACCATGTCCTGCTAAACTTAAGCTTGACCCGGGCGAGGTGCTGGATTGTCGCAGTGCGAACGCACTACCTGGTCCTACTTTTCTTTACCTTGGTGTGGCTGCTCAGAGTCACCAGAGTGGACTGCCAAGAGGAGTCATCATGTTCGTGATTGCATCACTCAGACCCGTTTTCGAGACCACTGCAAGCACTGCAAGAACTATCAGAATCAGAGCATCTACATGGCACCAGCCGCGGGGATGTAACCGTCATTCGTGAGACAGAGACTACTTGAACTGTGAAATGCCATGTTGTTCACGATTTAGGACCCGGGCCTTTGTGGACGGTCGTCCTTGCAATGTAGTGTGTCATTGCGGTCTCTGGTGTGTAGCGCGTGCATTGTGGCATTGTATCCTTTTGAACTGCTGTGTATGCAACTTTGCATTCTCTCCATGGCAGCCATTGCATAGATTGTAGATATCTTCAATGCCGTCTTTTTCATGTGCCTCCTGATAGACTGCCGGCCAAATATTTCGTTTGTGTATCGTAGTGCACATACTGTATAATACTCTGTATAATATATACTTCTAAAGTCGACACTGCAAGCCACTGTGGGCAGTCCATTGTCTAAGAGTCTAACATGCTTGGGACTGTAGTATTGACTCTGGCAAATGATGTGCGTGTGTATATATATATATTCACTGTATATGTTATGTAATATATATATATATATTGTAGTAGTTGTAGCATCATCCTGCTTTGTGCTCTTTGCAAGAGAGAGTGCGTGCACGGTACCAACAAATGTTCTTGCCACGAACTGAGCTCGTTGAAGTATAAATTCTCACACTATCAAGACCTCCAAGCCAACGGCCTTCAAGAATTCCCGAATGATATGTATATAAGTCTGAGTCTACACACCTCTACTAGAATCGAAGGGTTGCAGAAAGAAAGAAAGAGTTTTCAGCGCTTCCCCAAAAACTGATACGGCATGTGACAGTAGACTTTACTTGACCAGTTACACGTAATGCCATTGGTACGGCGCAACAACAGTCCAAAACGTAACGATGCATGCATATACAATCATAATAGTTTTTCATACAGTGAGATGTATGTGTACACCGTACAGTACATAAACAATTCTCTTATCCATGCACATGTCTCCTTCTGGTACATATATAGATGAGTCCAATTTGTTTGCTTGATAAATGCAATTTGTATTGTTTAAGCTGGCTGAAAATATGCAAATCTGGGGCCAAGGTTTTCCACTCAAAAACGATTACTGTATGTTTCTCTTCAGGTCGTGTACTTGCCACGCTTGTACTTCTCCTACTCAGTGTTCTTCTTGGTGTGGCGCTGAGGACTCTCAAAACAGAGGTACTTGTAGGAGTGGAAAGGAGTATGATCGGGTGGTTGTGGGGTGTTTTGCTTGCAGTTGAGTGAAGGGTCACTGTCAAGCATTTCCCTTTAAACCTCTGAGAGGACTGGCGTTTTGTTTGGGGCAAACTTTGCTGAAACTGAGCTGAAACAAAAGATGTTACTCTAAATCTTTGTTTGTATGATCAGCATCTAGAATCTAGAATTAATCCCTACCAGCCTGAGTTTTGTGGATTTCCAGCCTCCCCACATAGCCTCATGCTGCATTTGATGAAAGTACTTTTTGCATGACAAGAAAAACTACGGGTGGGGCTTGATCAAGAATGAAACCTGTGGATGTGAGATGACAAAGCCAGCCCATGATCACCAGGCTCAGTTCCTGCGGCTGATTGCGCGCATTACTGGTGTGGCCACAGGTGGACTCATCCATACATATGTGAACTGTCAGAGGCCGTAGGAGCAAAGAGGAGCAAAGACATGGTGGAACAAATGTGTCCACACTTGCCTCAAGCCACTCAAACTGTTCGCACACTACGCTCCAGCGCAGGTAGACCAGTCGCAAATCGGCGTATTCTGGTCATCACAGACTACCTGCCGCCACAGACACACGGCACGACCCAGCAGTTTCAGTCAAATATAGTAAGAGTGAGTAAGCACCTGGAAGCTGCACTACAGATTGTTTGGCAAACTTTGCAGTGATTGCTGGCTCATTTGAAGTCTTGGGAATATGTCCCTGCTTCCAGAATAATAATCCGCAGGTTGTATGTAGACGGCTTATTTTCCTGTTGCCATGGAGGGTTGGGGTGTACCCTATTGTTCAGCCATGGCCATGGGTGACCGCGGACATCGCGAATCATGAATCAATTATATTCAGTAGGTGGTACCCTAATCCTTGCTAATTATGTTGATATGTGTTTACTGACTTAGACGAACCCGAAAGGAATCGTATAATATATATATATATATATGTTTTGTCGTCTTCTTCCGAGTCCTGCGGAATGAAAAAAGCAGCATTAAACTGCAGGTATTGCCATCCGCTGCCATGCCTACGTGAAGGAGATGAGAGCCAAGGGCCATGAGGTGAACCGGAACCTTCCTATTCCCAGCTTTGCAGCTCCATGCAATGAGTCTGTTTTTATAATGGCCCTGGTCACGTCAGGTTTTTTTGACCACCACACACTGGCTGCATGGGATTGGATTGCTTGCTACGACAATTGTTCTGCAAGAACATACGATGATTTCAATCTATCATTTGGCCGAAGGGCCCAAAATCAGCGCAGGTGATTGTCTTCAGCACAGCCTACGAAGCCAACAAAGAGACCTCCTTTGACCATCCCAACATCCCGGCGGCCGCCCTGACATGTTTTGAAGACACGGTCTTTGCAGCCCTCCAAAACGGAGAGGAATCTATTGATTAGTTGCCAGAAACAGCCTGCTGATTTGCAAAAAAGTTAGTACTCCGTTGACTTTGTGAGACTCAATATGCAGATTCGTGTAGATCTTACCCACTGTGCAACTCAATTTGCCCTGTTTGTTCTGAAGGCCGGAACAGACTCACGAAACAATTTTGCAAAATAAAGTGTATGTTGAAGGAAGGGCTCGACGTGCATGTGGTGCATCCCACGCACGTGCCTGGCATGAATCAGAGTGTATGGAATGATCATGCCGGTGTTGACTCCTTGTATCTTTTTCGTACAGTACATACCCGTTTGATGATATGAATTGATCTCAGGATACAACCAGGTGCCCTCTTCGCCCGTTGGCACACTTCGTCGCGTTTTCTAGTCCAGAGATTCCACACGAGGTTCTATGAGACACAACATGTTCTCCGCTTGGAAGATTTAGTGGCCAGAAGTCTCTTTTCTGTTGGACTGAATCTGACATTCTGCTCCCACATTCGCACCTGCAGCGGTCATCAACAATTGATTGCATCAAGTCTGCCTCGACTGCTTTGTCATGAAGGATGATGCGTTGGATATTTGTCGGCCAGGTGGTGAATCCCTTCAACATGAAAAACCGCATCGGCTACAACCCCGGAGTTGATGCCTCAGTGCATTTGGAATTTGTCTTGTTCCACATTTCATTGTTGTGCCCAAGAAGTGTGAGCTTGCAGTTACGTGTCCTGATTGTGAAGTATGCCTCAGGAATCATTATGTATATATATATATACATTATTTATATAACAATTATATATATATATATATTATATACACATACCTGTATTCTACCTGTATTCTGGATGGTATGACCATGGTTTGAACATATTCCAAACTTACTCCAAGGGGTAAGGTTTTCACCAAGCTCCAGTACTTGCACCTGTACATAACTGTCGCCTCTCGCATCAGTTCTGTCCGTCGTTTCAGGTGAAGTTGGCATGGTTCCTGGGTGCCCATACATGGGATGTCGCATCTTGGTCGCCAAATCAGCTGGAAGAAGCCAGGAGGAGAAAGAAACCTCTTGTGATGTTGCATGATGTTGTCAAGGAAATTCAAGAGACCAAAAATCTCGCAACAGCTTGCAACCAGAAAGAGGGCAACCTTCTTTGGGACCGCCACAGTCGCGGCTCACTCTCCTTGCATAAGCATGGCCGACAAGAAGAAGCAGATCAGTGGCATCTTCTCGACGAACTTCAGGTCCACTTGGTCTATCCCTCCCTCATTGGCACCTTCGTGTTGACGGTGTGTGCATGGCGGAGAATTCCAGTTTCTCGACAGACATGCATTTCAGGATGTTGGCATATTAAACTCATCAAACCGCAGTGCATCTTTGGCCTGTCCAAAGGTGTAGTGTACAGGTGTCCGAAAACGTGGTCTGTACCTTTGTTTTTTGGGGGCCAGTGACGAGGGAAGCAGCAGGCGATTGACCCATAGCATCGCAGGCAACCCACACCTCTCAGGTCTATTGTTCTCACCACGTTGAGATGAACATGTTTGCCTACAAGCTTGTCCCAATCAGGCACTGAACGCTTGAGCAAGTTTACCATGCAGATCTATTTGCCTCCTCAGCATGTCCAGCCTCTTAACAAACAATCTACAAGTGCTAGCTGCTAGCTCTTGAAGCAAAGTCTCTCAATGCGTAAGCATGTGAATACGTGCATGTCGACGAAATCATTGGCACTTGTTTGTCCAGGTGGGTGGCGACCTTTGGCCTGAAGATGTCGTTTGGCTGAAACTTTTTTGAAATTGACTGTGCAAAGGCCTGCAACCACTGCAACCACCTTCTGTGTCAGGTATTGTGGGGCCACTAGGGAATTCTGTACTGCAGGTCGATCACCTCATTCCCAGGTTTAGATGCCTACATTCCCTTTGCATACATATCAAGCCTTTCAAGCCTCAGTTGTACAAGTGGTGTTTGCCAGGTACGACCTGCTTGGTCTTGCACCTGCTGTGAAGTGGGGTACGCTGAATGCTGCGCCCACGCTTTGCTTCGCTCGAGATCACTTGGGCAAGGAGAGGACAAGCGTGGAAGGCTTTGGAAAGTGCAGGTAGAATAGGCAAGTCACTACCTGCCTAAAGTAACCTATGACTTGATGAATGATGCGAGTTAGAATTAGACGAAGAATACGAAGATAGATTGTTGTATTCCAATATCTGGACAACTTCGATGCTCAAATGGGCTTTTCTTTTTTGGTTTGTCCCTAGTGCCAAACTAATGAAGAGCAGTGCTTTCAGGGGAATGAGTAAAGCCAATGAGCAGCGTTCTTGGCAAGATTTTGGCATCAAGCTTTACCCAGATGTAGACAATGATGTGTTTTTTCTCCACCTGTCAGGTGAGGGTTGTTAGCTTTTCTGTCAGCTGCTGCCCCCCCTTCTTCTCCTCTTCCTGCTCCTCCTCGTCCTCCTCAACCGCGGGCCTCGGCTGGCAGTGTTCCCCGCCGGACCTCAACCGCGAGTTCCGCTTGGCAGTATTTCTTGCCGGACCTCAACCACGAGTTCTGGCTGGCAGTGTTCCCAGCCGGACCTCAACCAGCACACAACCACGAACACACAGTCACAAACACAACCACAAACACAATCACAAACGCAGTCACAAACACACAGCCGCAAGCACAAAGACACATATACAGCACACAGCCACAGCACACAACCACAACATACAGCCACAGCACGCAACCACAACACACAATCACAATCACAGCACACAACCCAGGGACCCACAACCAAAGTCGAGAACCAGAAAAATCACGACCATGGCAACGTGCTCCTCACCATGGCATGAAGACACATGATTGACATGTCATGGTGGGTGTCACTTGAAGTAGAGTACTTTTGTCACTGCAGAAGAATGTGTGATCCCTGACACAAATTCTCGAGTGATGCCTGGACTCTGCGCTTTGTGCCTGCACATGGTGTAGCATAGTGTAGCAGTTTTGACTCATTCCTTGCTATGCCTGAAGTTTTATCCTCAGGAGAATGAGGCTAAGCTGAGAAGGGTGCCTTCCGGCCTTGGACTTGGATTATTTGGGAATCTCACCAGCCAAACATGTCCTCAGGTGCCCCGTTCAGTGAGAGCCAGAGTCAATTGAGGTAAATGCAAAATCGCAGAAAGCATGGCCCACTTGACTTGGAATTTGTCAAGCCACATTGAGTATCATTGACTTGAGAAGGCTGTTGAGCAATGGACACAGCAGCACCAATTTGTGCATCGCAAAAATACGTCATTTATCGTCATTTGTTCAACATGTGTCGCATAGGTGCATTGCGTGCTGAGGCACCCACGACATTTTCACGGCCACGCCAAAGAGTGAGACGGAGAGCTGAAAGGGGTGCTGGAAATTGCAGGTGTTTCCCACCTAATTGAATGTAGCCGCTTGTAGCCTTTAGAGAACAGTCATACAGGCAGAGTATGTGCGCTGTTTGTAGACGATACAGTTGTGACATGTTGTGACTATATGGATTCAGATCAAGGCAGTTGTTCAGGCAATCGGAAGGTGTTTCTCTTGTAACCAATGAAGAGAAGATAATGGGTTGGGATGATAAGGCATGGAGCTACAATATAGTCAGTTTTAGTCAGTGTTCAAAATCTTGGAAGCGGGTGTGAAACAATCCAGAGATTCATCAGGAGCGCAAAGACGTGCGCTTGGCCAAGTTTGGAGTCGACAGCGAGGATGACAAGGCCTTGAGATTGGAAGCAGACAGGGAAACACGGGGAGCAGTGCAATTGTCTATTTTTGCTAGCTGACAAGTATATAATTTGAGGCATAAGGGGCATAAGAGGACTTGGAACTGGCAGCGCAGCAAACCCACTTTACAGGATCTCACGATGTGTCTCTTTCAAACCAACCATAGAACTGCATACTGCGAAGCATGGAGCCGCCATGGAACCTTGATCGCTTGCAAGACTCCCTGAACCCCCTGAAGTATGGCAGGTGATCCTCATGGTGCAGCGGCTTTCGGCAGAGAAGGCAGGGTCGGCAGGGGCGATGGCCACTGAGGAAGAGGCCTTGAATCATGATCAAGTTGGAGGTTGCACATCAACAACTACTGTATCTCTTGGAATAGAATATTCTTTGAAGTCACCAGCCTTGCTGTGAAACAGCCTTTGGGACAAAACGATGCAAGACCAGTGGCCTCAGCTTCCTGCTTGGAAGGGTTGGTATTTTCCTTGCTCTCCATCAACAACACCAGAAATAAATTGAAATAACAAGAACAAACACACACAGAGTACACATGTGTCGAATTATTTGTACTGAAGAGCTCTCCACTCCAAGGCCAAAAGCTGGACTTGGTGACCAATTCGGTCCTTTCTATTACATTCTCTCATATTCCTGGATGATCTATTATTTTGTGTTTTGCGAGCCTAATAAGGCTTATATAATAGCTCCAAAAGGTTTGCTGGAACGCACCTTTATGCCATTGAGCCGCTTTGTGTTTCACTCCAGGGCACAGAACGAGTCTTCAAGGCCTTGCTGCCCAAGGAGGATCTGCCGCGTTAGAGAGACTGCTGTGCTTGCAAAACTTGGGATGTTGTCGTTGAACACTTTCCCAAAGCATTGCAAAACATACTGCCTGTTTGGAAGTGACGGGCATTTGGGGCTGAAAGCGCCATAGGGAGACAACAGAGGTTGAGGGCTACAATCATGGTGATCAGGCCAAAGGCCTTGCCCTGTTATGCTCTATTTGCCACTCTATTCACTGAAACTGAGGGCAACACCGCCTGATTCGCAGTTCTCGCGTGCAGGAGGGTGGCCAAGGTGTCAAGGGCGTGCTGGCCGTCGCCGGTGATGGTCCGGCGAAGGATGCGGAAGAACCCGGTCAGAAGAACCCACTCAAGGTGTCAAGGATCGTGTCCGGCAAATTGCAACAGGAAAATGCACCCACCACTCAGAAGATCAGATATGAATTTGGATTGAACAGGAGTAACAGGAGCTATATTAAGCATCAAGCGCCAGTATCATACGTACAAATATGTACTCAATGTACTATACTATACATAACAGATACGCACAGTCTGTTGGGTTAATTGGCCGGTAAGCTTGTCGAGCGCAAAGAGTGTCCTTTTGCAGTCATTCAGCTCGACTCAAAGAGGTCAACTTCATTACTGTGGGAGCCAGTTAGTAGCTTCTTGTTACTAGTAGTAATGCCCTTAGCTACAGCTTCTTGCTCCTAGTAGCGATGCCTTTGTTACTAGTAGCTTCTCTTTGCCACCAAACCTTAAGAGGGTTGCCGGGTTGCCTATTTGATTGTCTCGTTCCCTCGTTCGGTCCACACCAGGAGTCTTTAATTGAAGAAGCAACCCGGCTTCGGTTACGTGTAGCTGGGATGCTCAGAAAACCAGTTTGTTTTGTCGTAGAAACATGGTTCACCATCAGGCTGTGTCAGGTGAACTTTCAGAGTGGCTTCAGCTGGCATATGAACATGATCCAAGGCCTACATACACATCAATCCAGGAACACACCTCGTCACCTTGGTCAATTTCTAGGATACTCAAAACCTTGAAGTAGCAGAATGGGCCTTTTGTGCCGTCAAAGTCTCATACCGCTTTTGCTTTCAACTGCATGATAGTAAATACATCTTGCAAAAGCCCAAATGTCAAAAAGCATGTTGAGTTAAGTATATATTCTTGACTTGGAAGGGACACTTGTTGTAGTCATTGTAGTCCATCAATTCGAAAGAGATCCAAGAGACATACCAGGACGTTCTTGGGACGTCCTTCAAATGCAAATTCTATCACACTTTGCCATCCCTTCCATTCTTGGATTGATGCCACAAACCAAGAAGTAACATTGGTGTTGAGGTCTTCTTGGGCAACGTGCCTCACAATGTTCCAAGCTCAGTGCTCAAAGGCTCTTGGAAGGCTGCGGATGGTTGAAGAACGTCTACTAAAAGAATAACAGCGTCGAATTGCAGGATCGTCCATCTATGGCAAAGGCCAACATGCCCCACGCTTACTTCGCGATTTTCTCTCTCATCCGCGCCGAGGAGCTTCCCGCGCTGTATCGATCTGCAGATCTTTTTGTGACCATGAGTCTCTCGGAGACTTTCGGTCTTACTTCTTTGGAGGCCGCAAACATTTCTCGCTTAGTAAGGCATCTGACTGATATCGCATTCTTGGGATTTGAATTTGACATAAATTTGACATAAATTCGACATTATCATGAGGTTATAACATGCCAGTAGCGCATATTTTGGCAAACAGACCTGATGCACTTGTAGCAAGGTCATGCGAGATGCTGGAGCTTTTTAACTTGCGTTGAAATCGTTGAAGAAGCCAATGAAGCACTGAAGCACGCTTCGCATGTCACGGCAGGCCATGATGTGCGGTTGTCCAGCTGTGATGCCATTCTGCTCGGTGTTTGACGAGATTTGGACAGACAAAACACCCAAGGCACGTCTTTAGCATTTGCCACCAGCGCTTTTCTATTTGTTTTGATCCTGTCAGGAGAGATGAGGTTGACAGAAACACTTTTTATTTTTCTATTTTTTTTTCGCTTTTCCTGGCTGTTGTATCATTCGAGACTACACGACAATAGCACCTGGTATTTGTAGACCTGGCAGACATTTTGTTCATCAGACGGACAAACAGTTTGCCGAGCATGATGTGTCCAAAGCCTGGGCGTTGAACTTCACATGATGTTGATTCGGTGGGCCAGGAGTGGCACTACAACATTGAATCTCCCGAGGAGTTAGCCACCTCCATCGCCGCGGCTCAAAAAAATGGTCGATGCTCGGAGTGGACAAGTTGACCTCAGTTGCCTCCCACAAAGCAGTTGTTTGGATTTGTCTTGGTCATTTGCTATGTTTTGCTGAGGAAAATATCTTCAAGAGCATCCAGGTGCCTTGGGGGGTCTAGCATGCAAGGATGTTGACACTTTGAGACTTCCTGGATCTTACTGGCACATACCGGCACCAGCTTTTTTGTGAGACTGTACTTCCCAAGAAGCCCGCTACTATCCGCAGACGGTTTTTGTAAAACTCTCGTATCCTTCTGTGAATGGCACAACCGCTGCAAGTGCGCACAGTTCATATGACCTGGCGCGATGCTGCTGAAGACTTGCTCCAGCAGTGCCCATGTCAGTTGGGATGAGGTTCGGTGAAACCAAGGTAGGGCACAGAAACCTACTCCCGGCTTCTACTCAAAGCACAGGGTTGCTGGCAACTGCGCAGGCCAAGATCGCTGCCAAGATGCGGTCTTGTTGCCACTTCATCATGCTCATTCTGGGACACTGTCAAGTTGGACAACGTGTTGACAGGTTCATTGATCTTAAGTCTTAAGGATGTCTCTCCCGATTTATCCCCAAGAAGAATCACAGTTTGAATTGAATGACCTTGACTTTTCCTTTGCGGTCCTTCTTATGTCATGTAAACTGTTTCTTTTGTCTCCATGGTGTTTGGTATCAAAACAAGTATTTGGTGTTTGCAGAGGGCTAATGTCTTCATGGAGAAGAATACAGGTACGAGGAATGCATCAAGATGAAACAGAAAGACAGGACCGACCCATTGAGCTGGGATGAGTTCACATGAAATAGAGGATGCAGATGCATACGATGTGTTTGTTCACGTTGGAGCATTTGCAAATCGTGTCTAGCTAGTTACTTGGGGTGGACGTCATTCATGGCCACAGCAGCAGAAAGCTTCACACATGCGCATGGCACCATGTGATGAAGGCCATAACATAGTACCGTCGTGCACAGGAGTCATTTTGCATGGAGCGATAATGCAAATACCTCATTACAATCATCATAGGATTGGCTTGCAGAGGGTCGTTGTTCGGAAGTCGTGGTGAAAGCCCTTGCCTTGCTCAAGTGTCCTTTGTTGGTGTTTGCTAGACATATGAGCGCCTGTACCCATTGGCGCAGATACTGGCAATGATGAAAGCTTGCACCACGTGGCCATATTCATATTCTGTGCTTCTGTGTAATGGGACATGTTGAAGGACACTGGATGCCCTCTTGTTCTTTTCTTCACGCATTGTCCAGCGCCAGGGAGACACTCCGTGAGCTGGTTCAGTTTATGGACCATTGCCACCAGGCTAAATTGGGTGTGAATCAGTTCAAGGCTTAAAACTCAAAGCAAGTGCTTGACGTTTGGATGCTTTGTTGTTTTTCTTGTCTTTACTTGTGGGGGGTGATGACATCCAAGACCCAAAGAGTAGTTACTAAATTCATTTGTCGTGATCTGTCGAGCACCTGTTGCAGCGCTCGAGTGCTCAGCCAGTGAGAGGCTTTCTCACTAAGCAGTGCCTTCTAATCGGGGTCGCAATATAGCATAATATAGCTGTGTCTTGACAACTTCATTCTGACTGGCACATTGAGCATCATCCAAACTGCGGACCAATGCCGCCTGATGGGTTCTGGAAGCCCCAATTCTACAAAAGTCACTTCAGATATGTGGTGTCAACTTGCAGAGAATTTGTAAAACTATAGTTAATCCATGATTCGGGGTTTGGAAATATATAGAGCATATGTTGGCACGTTTGAAAGGGATTATATAATTGCTTGTGTGGATGAGAGAGTTTGGTGATCACTGCAAAAGTGTATAAGTATAATTGATTATATACTTAAACTTATTTAATATGTATATTATTACAAACTACCATACATTATGTACGTTAAGTTCCCCCAAACATCTGGGAACCAAATCGATCGTGCTGTTCTGCTTCCATGGGTAGTAGCTTCCAGTCTCCTACTTGAACCTGACTAGCCACTTTAGTTCACTACAACCTACCCCCAGCCCACTCAATGAAAGAAAAATATATACAATATAAACGATTAGTTATATAATATTATATACATATTTTTACATATATTACACATGGGCGAACGAAGTGAGTATTAGGGTGGGGTGGTTGCGAGGTAGTGCTTTGGTAGGGTGAACCCAGAGCCTGGTGTGGAAGAGCAAAAAAGAAGGTGTGGACAACATGTAGTCAACAAAATGTATGTTAATAACATATAGATTTGTGTGATGCGAGTGATGCCATATGTTTACTAGTGCATCTTAGCATCACAAAGGGCCAGGATACAACTTCAGTGGGCAGCAGTCTGTCTAGTTGTGTATGGTTATTCGCCTGAAAAAAATTGCTGTAAAGACGGCAACCTGCAAGTAGGCGTGCTTTGCCGCTATAAAGATTTCAACGAAGAAGGCAGTGCGCGGTATCAGCATTGCTCCGCCGAAGAGTCTTCGTGGTCCAAGAGAGGGTGGGCCGAAATGCAACGAGACTAACGGACTCAACGAAAAGGGCATGTATGGTGGTGCCCTTTTTGATCGTTTTGTCGCAGCCTTGGGACACTTTTGTCCCCTCCCTTCTCAGGTAATTTATTTTAACTATTTGTTCATCAAAACGATCCGAGGTTTCCGTGTGGCGATCTGTGGTGCTGCAGCGCCACACACTTAGATTTCAGCGACTGGTGGGGCTGGTCACAAGCGTTCGAAGAAGAACACCAGGATTGGTAGATGTTTGCTTGCTTGTTTGTTTCCTTCCTTACTTCCGTCCTTCCTTTTAGTTGATGCATGTTGATGCGTTTTGAGCCTTGTAAGATCTTTTAAGGCTATTGATTGTTTTCGTGTTCTTTGTGTGAGCAAACTTGCTCATTCAGGACGTGGGTTTTGTGCAGATACTACTGGCCAGCCAGAGCCCTCAGAGCCCGAACAATCCTGGGGTTGCAAGCTACTTGAGTTTTCCAGACAGATGATGTAAACATGAGGTGAGGTCCCTTGTTGCTCACACACTGCAGATCACATCCAGGTTTTGGTGTCTCCAAGCTGAACTTGCGGATGAAACTGTAGATATCCTTTCTCGGTTCTGCTATAGCTACCTCAATTGGTTTGGATGGGGACGTATAGGCTTGAGTCTCAGCGGCTCAACGTATTGAAGTCTCCGATTGCAACACATGTTCCAAAAGTGTGTAGCTTCAAACTTCAAACACCAGCATGATTATTAAGATGCTCCCCAGAGCCACTGACCATTGCTTTCAAGAGTTGATTCAAATCTTTACTCTTCACACTGCCCCAAAGTCCCCACCCAGCTCGTGCCCAGGCAATCAAGAGTTTTGCCAGAACTGTTGGTTTGGAGAACCTCTTGCGTTGAGAAGCACAGCGAACAGATTTTTGGGCGTAGCTACTGCATGAAATTCTCCAATGGACCCAAGTCCATTTGTGCAGTTGGCCAGAGGCCATCTTTGTTTCTTTGCTTCTTGGACACGACAGTGATTCGTTTGACAGTTGCAGTCGGGTGATCGGCTGAGGTTTCCATATTTGATACCATATCCGATATCCGAATGGTGGCATGGAGCGCAGAAGACCAAGGGACCCCAAATAATTGTAGAAAGGAACAAGATGGAAGCAAGGAAGGACGCATGACATGCTTAAAGGTCAAAAAAGGTCTAGACTATTTACTCGGACAGTTTGGACCGTTTTTCGGTTCACTTTTCAATACTTTTGCACCTTTTCAGGACTACTGGGTGATGATGCCAAAATGTGGTATTGACCGGAAGAGCTTCATTGGTTACCATCGGTTGTATTCAATTCTACAGTATCTGCAAAGCCACCAAGCCCTTTAGCTGAAGTAATTCCTGCTTGCACTGTAATTTTTGGGCGAAACAAACTGCACTTCAACACTGAAGTGCTGCGAACTGGGAACAGTTCGGTGGCATTACTCACAAACGCTACTGAACTCTGCGTCTCTTGACCCAGTAGCCGAATGCAACTGCAGCTCCAGTGGGCGGTGGCTTGTCGTTCAATGGGCTAGCTATTGATGACAAAGGGGGCCGCGTGACCTGAAGCACAAGTTGCGCATGCGATTCGCAGAAAACAGGCGCAAGAGGGGCACAGCTCAAAAACACAAGGCCGGTCAGGAATCACAAGAAGGCAATTTGTCAACTTTTATGTGTTTGCTTCGGAGGATATCTCATTATTCTTTGTTTCGGGGGTCACACAGTCACGTGTGACAATTGCCGACAGGCAAAACCAGACTGCGTGAAACTAGCTGCACATTGGCTAGTGGGCATGTTCGGAATTGTTTTTCTTGTTGCCATCGGAGTGGACATCAATAGACTACGAAACCTGCGAAGCGTATGGCTGACATCGAAGGAAAAGGTTGCCCGGTGGCCAGTAGCTGTACAGTGTGATCTAGTTGCCGTCAGGTGCTCGTTGTGGCTACACTTGATGACCCACCTGTCCACTCCATAATGGAGTGGTTGTAAGCGCTATTGCGACCCTGAGGATGTTTGACTCGGGGTGTCGGGCCGTTTTGTCTTGTTTTTTGAATAAAGCTCCTCAAAGGTCAAAGTCATCCACTCGTTGGATGGTCAGTGGAAAGTCCCTTGTTGGTATTCCCCCCGACCTTGCGATGAAAACAGGAAGAAGGAGCAGCTAACGGGCTAACGGTCCCACTCTCCGGCAGCCTAACATTTAAATCTCCCGCTCTCCAGGCGTTTTTGTGTTAAAACCTTTATACTATATATATATATGTAATTGCAAGCCAATCCCTCATTAGTCCTCGCCAGTGACCAGTATTTGGCAGCTGGCTTCACAATCATTGACGCTGTTGCTCAATGAGGAAAGTCAATATGGAGGAGGACCTAGGCATAATTGACTAGAAAGGAAAGAGGCTTCTAGCAAAGCAACAGTCAATACTATCAGCTCTAATGCTGGCTTAGTTCTTTTTGAAGTAAGTTTTGTGCTTTCAGGACAGCCAATAATTTGACGCGTGCTTCACAAAGCACTTTTACCAATGCAGGAAGAGCCCAGGAGGGCGCATTGCATAGTGCGAATGTTCGTGTAAATGGCCAACAGGATGCAACAGGTGACCTGAGCAATTCATCGAACCTACACTCTGCTGGACGTGCCTGTAGTGGCATTGCCATTTGCGGCAAAATGCAGCAAAGCCGGAGGATGACACAGATCACCTTGCGCAAGGCAAAGTCCTTACAGCCCCTTGGAGATGCAAGTTCGATATGGGATTTGAGGGCGGAGCACCGACACTCTGATAGAAGTCTCAAGGCAAGAAAGCCCTTGACCCCCAAACACCCTTGCGTGCGTGCTCACAGTATTGATAAATTTTGTGAACCACAGAATGATATTTGATGG